TTTATTAACTAAAATTCCTGAAATTATCTTCACAGTCATTCAATATCCCATTTCATTAAATTGATTACTTTGAAGATCTTGTTACTGTTTTCCAGGGGTCTGACTTCACTTATTATGACTCTGATGGGATCAACAAGAAGAAAAAGTAAGCAAAATACAGGTGCTTTGCTCTGTGTCTTCAGTTCCTCAGTAAAACTCATTGTCAGTTCAGCTTTCTTCCCAAGGCTTCAGAAATGCCTGCTGATGAAAATCTGGGAGAATATTGGTCATGGGTTATTCAACCTTGACTACTAGGTCACTTTTTCATACTAATAGATTCTATTGTGTCAAATTAATGTGCAATTATTGCACTGCTTGTGTTTTTCAAAATTGCTTGTGTTTTTCAAAATTAGTACAGATAAGGAAACTTATCTGTACATTAATATTAAAATGTTCAGTTTTATTTTATTTTATATTAATAAAATACTCATTAAATTATTTAGAATATATTGCTTTATCCATTAAAACATGGACTGTATTTGCAGCAAACCATTGTTGTTTTGCTATTTTAAGGCATCTCTGACCATTGTTTTTCTTGCATCACTTAGAAAAGTTTAGAACAGCTTTACCAAAAAAAGCACAAAGCTTTAATTAAAACTGCACAAGTTGGTAAATGTAAAAAAGACCACACATCTGTGTAATGGCTGATGAGTCTTGGTTGTGCATGAATATGTCATGACTAAACCTGGGTCACAAAACACAGCAATATCAAAGTCACAGCAACAAATTAGAAAATGAGGTGTTGCATAATTTTTAGTGCATTGTCATTGAAACAAATCTGAATCACAAAATGCTCGTTGCAAGATTCTTACCTTAACTAAGTATCATGTGTCAGAAGAAAATAGGACAAAATGTTGTCATGGGTCACATTTCCTTTCAGATCTCGTGAAGTGCCACGTTTTGCTTCATCACGTACCTGGAAAGGAAATAGATTTTAAATGCAGTGTCAAAATATAATGAGCCAATGCGGTGTGAAGTTCTAAATGTGAGTGTGACACAGGTCATGACATCAGTGGGGCCATGACACATACCACCAGCCAAAACATTGCCGCAAACCACGTGCAACCCTCCAGTGCCGCTTCATCCATTGAGGCACATGTCCTCCTTAAGCAGATTTTTTTTATCCCTGACTGAATATTAGCAGAATTTCTAGAAGGTGCAAAACTGTTCCATGAGAATGGACATATCTGATGTTATCAATTTCAGATTTATGTATCAAGAAATAATTTCTGGATTTCATCTTTTTTTATATTTAGCAAAGAGAGAAACTAAATAAATCTATGTGAATTTGTATAATTCATTGTTTATCTTTTACTGGTGGACATTCCAGCATGCTCTTTATGTAAAGTGGTATAGTCCTACATGCAAAACTGTTTTTTTATGGAAAGAAAAAAAAAAAAAACATTGAGTTAATTCTAAGGAGGTGGTGATGGGAAATGGCTGGAATAAAGTAAAAACAAAAATAAGGCTACAGAAAGAGACTACAGAATAAGCAAATCTCCAAACAACCCAGGTCTTAAAATGTTGTATTTTATTAAAACGTTTTGTACTTCAGCCACTAAAACTCAAAGGTGTTTAAATATGGCTCTTTTCTGAGGTCTAACCTGCTGCAATGTGCAGCCTCAAATCCTCAATGAGTTCTTTTGTTTTAGGAATGACTTGCCACCACAGTAATTGAAATGGCTTGGAACAGTATGAACTATTCAAGTAGTGTAGAGCCTTATATTTTATCCACAAGCTCTCACAATTTAAATTAGCTCTGAATATACAGAAATGCTCTCTTCACATTTACAGCACAGTCTATTTTAAATCCATATTGCATAAAAGTTTTATCTGTAATTCTGTTATGTAACTGCTTTTAGGTAATGTTTAACTACTGTGCTTCTCAAATTTAAGATATAAGGGACCTTTCTCATCTGATTTAAAAAAAAAAAAACATCTTAAAAACTGGAAACTCTTAGAAAGTCCTATCATGTATTCAACATGACAGTACATGACAGGGTAAGTTAATTTTAAATCACATCTTTAAAAATAAACTTGAACCTAAAAATGTTTCTGGGAACCAGTAAGGCTGCTTCTATCAATCTTTCAATGATTGACATTTAGATGATTTTTTTTTCCCACATTATAAGGTGGATTTGGTTTTGGAACCCAGAGAGCAAGTCCTTTATTTCATTGTTCATTCACCTTCAAAACTGTTTTTCATCATTTGTGGGGGGAAAAATGAAAGTGGCTTGGACCCAAACACTGAAAAAAGTCAACTGACTTTAAAAGTAAGATATCATAGAAAAGCTGCAATGAGAGAAAACATGTCACTCAAGTTAAATGTGTGTGCCTGGAGAAAAATACACTTTTTAAATTATCCTAATCTTTTTATTTCAACCATCTGTTTTTGAAATGTCTTTGATATCTCACATTTCTGTATACTTCTATTTCTATTGTGTTCATTTTAGTAAAATGAACACAATAGAAGTTGTGCTATTGTGCTAATTTTACCAAAGTTTAACTGTGTCTGCATGTCTGGCAACTGAGGAAGAGAGTGGCTGATGGACAAGGATGCTTGTGTGTAGGCAGCTCTTCTGTATGCCTGTGTGTGTGCATGTAATTTTATATAACACTTGGTTATCTCTTCTTTGGTAGAAATTATCCTTCTTCTGCCAGAGTGCCTCCTCTGCAGTCCTCACAATTCTTTGCAGATAGTATCTTTCCACATCACAATAACATTATTGTTGACCGTCTCTTCAATCTACACAGTGATATGCCCAGTGTTTGACGTTTGTCACCTTATCCTTTTTAGGTCCAAACAAATAAGGTGCAAACAAGATTGTTTTTTTTGTGCATATGCAATATTGCCTTGGACACCAAGGCTGATGAAAGATGCTGTGAGATGATTTGGTTGCTGTTGGCAACCAATCACTTAGAGCCAGTTGTTCATGAATACATCATGGATGCTGTATTACATAAAATCTATTGCACTGAGGCATAAATTACCATCTGGTGCATTTAGTTGTATAAGATTCAGGATTTGTATTGCAATGCTGTATGTAAATACCTAAGCATGCAATAATAACTATGTAGATAAAAGCAAAAGTTGATAATATTGTAAAAATGTAGAATATTTTATTCTTTTACTCACCCTCTTTCAAGGATGTAATAACCTTGCATGTTCTTGAGGAAGCTGGGCAAGATTGACACAAATCAGCAGACCAAGCATTTGATTACTAATCAATGACAAAAAGAAAAAAAAAATATTGCAAAAAAACAAACAAAAAAACAAGCTCAACACTCAATATCACAATTTATTTCATTGCAGTAAAGGATTTATCCCAAAATAACAATTTTGCATAAACTTTCAGCTGCCAATGGAGATGACTAAGATATGAGGGATAGAAACAGGTTGTTTTTGTGTGGCAGAAAATGTTCCTATTATGACTTAGGGAAAGGCATTCCAGGATACTCTTTCCAATTTAGTAAATTTGCTACTGAATTAGTAACAAATCTAAGTCTTTGAAGTAGGCTATTTCTAACCTCATTGAGCTTTGTAAAGTTAAAATACAGTTATCCTACTGTTTCAATTTGTTTGTCATGCAGCATTGTACTGTGTCCCTTAGGGCTTTTTTTTTACTTTACTGTGACATTTTAAGTCTCTCACACAGGCCGTTGACGAGACTAGAATGTAATGTCAGAGATTTTCTCATTCCTTATCTTTCATCAACGTAACTGAAAGGAACCTCCTCGAATCTCCTTGAGTTTTTATTACATATAATGGGCATCTGTCGGCTATTGTCGTTGTCTAATTTTGGTAATCCATATAAATTCAGTATATTTTTTCTTTCGGAATACAATTGATGCTACAGAATGTATGCACTTTTTTGCGCGCTGGACACATTATTATAAACACATCAGAAATTGTCTGGATTTTTGTTTCTGGGTGAACATAGAGAGAGGTACGGGAATTGCATGTAAAGCACAGTTCAGGACATACCAAAAGCAAATCAGATGAAATCAACATTTAATTGATTTAATTAGAAACACTTGAAATCCATCTAGTTTCTTATTAGGTATAGAAATATGCATCTGTCATAGGATTGATTTTAGCATAAGGTGGCCCAAGAGAAGTGTTTATAGGGAGAAAGGTACTCTTCCAATAGCGACTCAACAGTTTTGAGTGAGTATAATCAGTGGTTGCACAGAAAAAAAACAAAGTTTTGGTTGTGAAAGGAATATGCATTTACCACAATAATCCATGCAATGTGTGCAGAGAAAAAAAAAAAAAGTCTTCTTCCCTGCACACAATGCAGATGAAAAAGTTGCCAGCCACAGTTGAAAGATAAAATCCACCTGTTTAGAGTTGTATTTGAAAGATAGTCAATTACAAATTTGACCATGGCACTTCACTTAATGCAATGTTTTGATTGTTGATTCTATGCTGCATAACTTTGTTTTTGTGTTTTTTTTTTAATGTAAAGCCCTTTAAAATGTCTTGCTGCTGAAATGTGCTATAGAAATAAAATTTATGTTCAGGAATGATTTTTGTGTATCTCCAAATTGTTTTTAAATCAATGTAGGTAAGCAAATAAGTCATGAATAAAACATTTAAAAAACTTGAAAATGTTTGTCAAAGAAATGTATTGCTTATGCTGTAGAATTATCATCTTCATTAAAGAAAAAACATTCAACCTATTTACTCCATCCCCAACCCCCCTTTATATTCACATGTTTCACCTTTTCAAACACTGCATCACCAAATGGCATTTCTCCTCCTCACAGATGTGTTCAGGGTTGTCCTTGGAGATTTCCCCAAGCAAACAAAACTGTTTCGCTCTCTGACTACACTCACCCCCCCTTGCCTCCATCCATCTCGCCTGTCCGCACTCTCTCTCTTCTCCCTTCGATTTCACACCAATGAGAGTGCAGCATGTAGCTCCCACTCACTGGCATCAGAAACACGAGATATCTTTAGTCTTGAGCTACACAATTTCATACAAATAACAGCATTGGCTAGACAGAAATCTGCGTTCTGCCAAAACGCACATTGGTAGATAGGTAGTGGTAAAACAGGAAGGGAAGAGAGTGCAGCTGATCTCTCATACATCAGGCTCAAGGTAAATGATCCATGTTAATTTATTGTATGACACTGTTATGTAGTTATTCTATTGACACTGAACTCTGAGCAATGTTTAAGGCTTGGTTAACCTTTAGAATTCACGAGTGATTACCATGCTTATCTTTACATAGTATGCATGCTTACTTTTCACACAGGAAAACACTTAATAAAGTAATTTGTTGTCTTTGCTGCTAACATTGAAATATGAACCAAATAAATGCATGGCAGACATTTATTATTGATATCCCACAATTACATTTCATCCATCTTACTCTGTGCATGCCACATAATCAAAATTCTGTATTGTATATTATGTGATTTCTGATTAATACATAATACAATTTACACATATGTCAGCACTATGCTATCTCAATTTAAAAATATATATTTTGCCTAATCATCAGTTCAAACCTCACTACTTTCCTCACTTGATGCTAAAACTCTGTGGGCTTTCAGTTTAATAAATATTGAGGTAAACAAAGATGGGGCCATGCTTTGAAGCCTATTCAAGTGCCATCTCTAGGCAATGAGTTTTTAAATCTCCCCATAGAACCGACATGGTTCAGTCATTCTTGCCTTATCCATCCTTATCCGCAAAATTCCTAAGGGGTATATTTATCAGAATTACAAAACCAAATGCTTATTTCTTGTAGAGTTTACATGTGCAGAATCAAAACACATGGAATTATTCATTTATTTTGAATAATTCAACTTGGTCTTAAAATTATCTAAAACGTAGCCTTTTCTACACATGAAGGGACGTACCTGATTTCTATATCAAGACTGGAGGTAGACCTAATTTACACATATGTCAGCACTATGCTATCTCAATTTAAAAATATATATTTTGCATATTTCTGGGTGACATTAAGACTGGTTCATTTTTACATAATTGTATTAACATGTACCACACAGTTAATTAAAGCTTTATAAAGACCACAAACAAATGCCAGAAAGAGTGCGCTGATGCTTATTTTCATTATATTGCAGGAATAATAACAATGAGTGAAAGCCATTATTGTTTTATCTGCTTCAGTACAAACATTTCAAATGCCAGCAGAAATGTTATTTAAAATAAGTTAAAACCATGCAAATAATTGTACAAATCCCAGCATGTGTGTAAACACTTGAGTTTGTTGGGAGAAGTAATGGTTATAAAGTCTAACAGCCAGAGGGAGGAAGGATCTTTGATTTCGCTCCTTTGTGTAGTTAGACTGTAACAGTCAGTCATGGAAGGAGCTCTCCAGTTCAGCACCAGCTTAATGCATAGGGTGGGAGACATTATCAGTCTATTTTAGGTAGTCTTCCAGTTTTCCACCACCTGAACTGGATTAATGAAGCATCTTAGCTCCATTTGCTCATAGCCTTCCTTAGCTTATCTCACTTTCTGAGATAACTTTCTGCTCTAACATACAAAACTATAGAAAATGTTTGACACCATCACAGAATCAAAGAAGGTCTTCAAGAGCATCCCCTGCATTCTCAAAGACCTCAGCTGCTCAGCAGGTAAACTGCTCTCATACTATCACTGTTATAAGACCAGTTGTGTTTATTGTTCAGGTGGATTCCCAGGTACCTATCTCATTGTCCACAATGTCACTGTGGTGGATCTGCACTTGTGAAGTCCTTACCATCCCTGGTAGTGCTCCAAATATTCTGATGTAATTCTCTTGGCAAAATAGCCAAGAAAAAATACAACAGTCACAAACTGTTCTATCTTTCCAAATGGTAGTTCAAATTAAAATAGACTCAAGAATCCTTGCCTGGTATTTGGGTGTGTAAAAGAGTAAGGAGGACATTGATGAGGAGCAAATATTGTGAGCAGAGACTATTTTTCAATAGAGTGGTTCATAATAATCAGCTTTAAAGTTGATTATTTAGGTTGCAGAGCTTTAGTGTAATTGGTTTTCTAGATTTCTAACCACAAGACCTTCTTTCTGGATTAAGTCTTGATCTGGTATAAGTGGAGCCTGTTTCAAACACACAAGTTTGAAACAGGTTTCATTGACAGTTTACTTTTTGTAAATAGGATATTGAGTCAAGAGACGTACAATAAAATATTTAAGTACTTCTATTTGGGGAAAAAAATAATTCCTTAAAGTTATAACAAATAATTTATGATAGGCCTGTATTACTTGAAGAACAACATAATTTAGTTTATATATTCAATATGTTTTTAGTCTGGGTACCAGATAAACAATTTATATTTTTTGTGGAGTTAGAGGAGTTTATATGAGAGGTTTGCAAGTCATTCTACTTGATCAAATTAAAGATTGCATATTTTAATGTTTTCTTGAAATCAATGACCAAAACATTAGACATGTTTAGAAAATGTTTTACTTTAAATCCTAATCCCTTAATAAAAACCTATGCATGTTGAACTAAGGCTCTTTATCTAAGTCTTATTCAAACTATTCTCATTATTGTGCTGTTGCATCTATTATGCTACTTTTTAAGGTGATTTTCAAATTATTTGTGCCAATTGTTGTAATTTGTAATTGGTATTAGAAATTGTATACTTAAAATAGAATTTTGTCATAAATTAATGAAAGTTTCTCTCTGTATAATATTTTCAGTGTACATTTGGTACATTTGCTGAGTATTTTGCAGGGGATAATCCGGGAGTGTCCCTGTGAACCAGGAGGATGAGGTTAATGATATTAATGCCCTATTTTGGCATGCAATTTCACTGCTGTCCCCTCGTTTAGCTCCCATCCAACCCATTAACAACAAAGAAAATCTAAAAATAAAGAGGCAATTCATAATCCTAACAGTATCAAAATTCCTGAAAAACGATTTCCTAATGTATTGTGGTTGCATAAGCATTTTGTTTTAATTCTTCTTTCAATTGCTTCATAATCAATGATGTGCAGATAAACATTTTTTATTTGTAACTTCACTTTTAAGCAAGTCTCTGTTTGTGTCACCCCTGAAGATTTTCCAGGGAAAGAAAGTCATCTTCTCTGCAGGCTCTTTATTATTACTTTATAAATGAACTGGACTGTTATGCCTATGCAAAATAAAAGTCAAAACTCTTCATAGGCAAAACCAATCAGTGTGGAAAGCCAAAAATAAAATAGAAAATTATTTCTATGATTGATGGGTAAGAAAGCAGTCATTCAGACAGTTTTCTTAATCTAACAAGAAATCTGTGATTTGGGGTCTGTTCCAATTTTCAAACCAAACGCAGTGGTTAATGTAAATGAGCAACTGCACCATAAGCTTGGCAGCATAATATTAAATGACTGTGTACTGCTTACATTAATATGACAAACTTAGTAAATCCCCTAGAAGCGAAATGCTTTTAGTGGCAGCCCTTGGAGTAAATCCACTGTCTGCAATCTAAAATAAATCCCTGGCACAAACTGATTACATAAATGGCTAAAGGCGGGATGAGTGATAAGAGACCTATCCTCAGTTTGTAGCACTGTCAAAGCCATACATAAGAACATATTTTAGCACTTTTGTCAAAAGACCCATTTAACTGGGAAAAACACTGCATACCTGTGACTTTTTCTTTCTGCTAATTACTGAGCATTAATTTATTAAGTGCCGTAATATGTTCTGACCTCAATATTTTTAAGACATATATGTAGCTTTACCTTAAACTGTCTCTCTTTGTGCCAATTATAATCACACATTAATGTGATTTGTCACTACCGAGTCCCTGCTGTCCAACCAATCCTCCTCTAAGGTTAAATTTAGCAAGCTCATGCAAAAACCCATTCTGTCCAGTTAAATCAGATCATGTTCAAATTTAGCCCACAGCAAATGACATGTTCTAATTTTATCATGGAGCTAAATGTTATCCAGCAGTTAAGGCAAGACATTGGCTGGCCCTCATCAGTCTTGGCAGTGCTATTGATAGTCTGATCCAGCCACGGACAGACAAAACCTATTCATGTCAAAGCATTTCACCTTTTTTCCCAAAAGGAGCAAGTCACAACAGCAAAGCTACAAACATTTATTACCGAGATTGGCCACCTCTATTATAGAAACAGGCATCTGGTTGCTAAAACAAAACCTTATCAACAAAACATAATGAATCCATAATGAATGTTCTGCCAATAGATTACAATACTTGGAGCTGCTTTAAATATTGACATTTCTTATCAGCAGACAATAAATTCAGGTGACTGGTCAATATTCTTTTACCACTGGCACAACTTTGCTATATCATAATGTTTTCCAAGAATACACTGAAATAGTGCAATGGTTTTGAAGCTGTATTTGATGGTGGTACTTTAGAAATTCTGAGCCTTTAGAAAGGCGCAGAATACAAAAATAAAAAAAAGCTAATAAAAATAAAATAAAATAAAAATCTATCTATCTATCTATCTATCTATCTATCTATCTATCTATCTATCTATCTATCTATCTATCTATCTATCTATCTATCTATCTATCTATCTATCTATCTATCTATCTATCTATCTATCTATCTATCTATCTATCTATCTATCTATCTATCTATCTATCTATCTATCTATCTATCTATCTATCTATCTATCTATCTATCTATCTATCTATCTATCTATCTATCTACCTACCTACCTACCTACCTACCTACCTACCTACCTACCTACCTACCTACCTACCTACCTACCTACCTACCTACCTACCTACCTACCTACCTACCTACCTACCTACCTACCTACCTACCTACCTACCTACCTACCTACCTACCTACCTACCTACCTATCTATCTATCTATCTATCTATCTATCTATCTCAATCATGTTGACCAACACTATGACATTGGTAGCACCAAAGAAAAATGTGCTGAGTTAGTGGTATAAACTTTAAACTAGGCCTGATTGTGCTGATGTACAGTAAATACATAGAAAGTGAAATGGCCAATGGAGCAGAGATGTGACATTGATGTGGTGAGATGTGATGAGTTAACTTTTTTGCAAATGAACTTGATGAAATGATATCAGACTTTTATTGAAATCCCTCAATTGATTGTATTCCAAGTTGACTTTTAGAATAGACAAAGAGTTTAGGTGTGGTCAAAGGAAAAGGATTAATGGTGAGAAAATACCATAAAATCTTTCAGCATACCCTATTTTAACATTTCTGACAAAATGTCTGGTGTTTTTTTAAACATTGTTTAAAGTCTTAGCACTATTAATAATAATTATAATAATAATAATAATAAACATTGTCGTTACTTTAACATCCTTACTAACAAAAAGAACAGCAAAGGTGCAGTTTTGTTACCACATCAGCAAGGTTCCCAGCAATGTCAAAACCAATTTAATCTCCCGTTCATCATTGCCCTCGCTATATTTAGCAGCAGTTCTATTTCCTACGAGCAATCACAACTGCCATTTTCACATTGATATTTTTAATACATTCACCGAACAACAAAATAACTAAACGGCATGTTAACAAGGTATCAAAAATAAAAGGGAATTAGAACCTCCTTCATATCTCACCCCAAGTCTTTTGCATCACATTTGTTTGTATTCCCTGAAGCCTTTTAAGAGCTGACATTAACACAACAGAACTGTGTTTACTATAAACAACAATGCACATTATCACACGACACTGGAAAAAATATGAGATGACAGACAAAATCAGCAACCTACAGTATTTTGCAAATGGTAAAAGAGTTAGAGAAAACATGAGTTAAAAATAATATATCTTAACACTTTCAACATATTTATTGCTGAGATATTACTCATTCTATGCAGTTCAAAAGTATGCAAATAAAAAATACTGACTTATGCTATACCACCTAGCATTACAAAAGATCCGTGTAATGCAGCTCTTTTATTTGCATTATTTTGATGTACCCATTTAATATTCCTGCATCTCAAATTTTGTTTCAGCCACTTATATATATTCTTTGGACTTATATTATAAGCTTAGAAGATAATTATATTGTGCAGTTGCAGTTAGACCCACTTTATTAAGATACCAATAAATAACATTTAATGCTAACAAATGCCACAAGTAACATAATTATTAAATAGAGAACATATATGATTTCATTAGAAATCTAAATGCAAATGCTCTGTGAAGAACATGTGGATTTGGTAGAGAACATAAGTGAACAATTAGTATCATAAGTGAACAATTAGTATCATGAAAACCAAGAAGCACAATATGAAGGTCAGAGATGGAGTCGTGGATATGTTTAACAACAAGTATACAAGCAGTATTCCAAGCCTAAAAGATATCACAGAGAAACATTCATTTTATCAAATTAAAATATAAAAACATATGTCACAACTGTGAGTCTAGGAGAATACTGCCATACACTTTTACCTCAACAATTTTCAAAGTAAAACAGAGAAAAGAAATAATTCATTATTAATCCTTAAGTGAAGTCAAGTGCAAAATCCTCTGAAACAAACTATCTTTTTAAGTGGGGAATTTATACAGATTAAACCAAAGAAGTGGTGGGAACCACTTAATAAACTCAACAATTTTAATTATGCACAAAGGAAATTAATTGTAAGTTCTTTATGAAGCAATAGGAATGATCATTTCCATGA